AAAAGCTGCGCCCCCGCCGCGGGTGGGATGCAGGGTGCGATGGGCACACGGTCCCGAGCATCGGTGCGGCCGGAGTGTGTCCGCTGGGGCAGCATCGTGCTCCCATCCCGCATCCTGGGAATCCCTCGAGGTTTTCGCCTCCCGACCCCCCTTTGCTGATCGAGGTCAATAAAGGAGGAATGTGCCGCAGTAAGTTCAATTAATGCTTTATTTCCAGGAGCCGTCTAGACAGCTTCCTGATGGAGAGTGGGCTGTAGGGCCCGGCAATGTTTTGGCCACGGTCCCTGTAATGTAATTACATGTGTATGGTCTCCGAGGGAAGGGATGCAAATAAGGTTGTCTGGACACATCTGGTGGGAAACACAAAGCTCGGTGCTATTTAGGACAGCAGCAGCTCACCAAACTTAAAATCTCTTGAGACAAAAGAGGTGGTGGAGAAGAGTAAAGTATCAGTTGTAAGTGGAACTCTGTTGAACTGAAAGTAAAGGAATAATCTCCAGCCGAATTACTGCAGAGACAATAGGGTCGGATTCTGGCACTTGGAAGGAAAACCACGGGAAGGAGGATTTATAGCATTTGACCCATTTGCGCCCTGAAGTTACCAAATCTCACCCCTCTGCTTCCTCTGCCTTTTACCATAGTGCTCTGTCTACTAGAGTTAATACTTTATTTAACAAGGGGTTTAACTTCACTGGAACATTTTCAGGGTATGTTGGGATCGACTTTAACAACATTAGCATCTCTGGTCAAACAAAATAGCAAAGGCATTTTGTTGTTTTCTTGTCTCAAAAAATGTTGAAATGCAGTAGTAAAAAGCATTACTTCAGAAGTTCAGTGTGCCCTTATTCCTGATCTTACAGCCCCAGTTCAGCATTTGGGATGCCCCTGGTTACTTCTGAACCGTAGTGGGTGGGATTGGAAGAAATTATGGAAAAGTGCTGAGTATCCTTTTAATAACATGGGGCTTGGCTGCATTGAGTGCGTTGCAGAATTGAGTCTTCTAGGGTCCAGTTTTGGTGGGAGAAGGAGCAAGTTGTGGCATGAGGTACTGGGGGAGAGGAGCCTGGAGCAGGCAGGCACTAGGGGACATCTCTGGGAGCACTGCTCTTGCCATTCTCTCTGCTGAAGGATTCTCTGTGGGTTTGTGGGGGGCAAAGCACTGAGCTTGGAAAGAGCTGCTGAAGCCAAAATTGGTGAAATGGAAAGCCTGTGTGGTGCAGACCTGCCAGCTCTCACATTCCTGGCTGATAAAGCACCATGTTTGTCTCTATGAATGTGCTGGGGGAATGATGCCTCTATAGCTTCTGACAGTGATGAGTTGCTGTGTGTTGGTGTGTTGGTGCTCTCTCACTGCCATGCAATGTGCTCCTCTCCCTCATCTGTCCCCTCCAGTCTGCCAAACTGTTGGTTTGGGCAGGAACACTCCCTTTTGGTCCAGTTCACATCCTACCTTGCAAAATCAGAAATTGGTGGGTTTAGGCACTAGGACAATGCAAAAATAGCACTGTTTGTAATAACAGTATTGATGGGGTTTTGTCCTCCTGGTGAAGAAGCTTCCAGTTTTCCCAAACAGCACATGCCAGACTTGCACCGAGCTGGGTTTTTTTATAGGCACAACTTGTAGTGTGTGAAAATGGACTTTGTATCCATATCTTGGGGTTGCAAGAGCAGGGGATGATGCAAGGTTTAGACAAGCTGGATTCAGAGTCAGGTTAACCCTGTGCTGAAAGGGTTTGGTCATTAAATCACTAATAACCCTTTGACATGCACTGAGATATCCCTAATGCAGACAACTTACATCTCCAAGCTCCCAAAAGCCAAGGTTGTTGAAGATGCAGTTTTGCACATGTACATTTTTACAGAAGCAATTCAGTGATTTTCTGTAGATGTTGCCTTTGGTTCTGGCGTCTGCTGGGGAATATGTGTGCTGGAAGAGATTTCCTGAAACTGCAATTCTGATAGAAAACACACTTCCCCTAAAAATGAAGTTATGGAATTCCTGGCATACTTTCCCTTTGACAATTTGCATTAATTCATAAGGGTAAATACACTTACCATTTCAATGCAAAAAAAATACCTTTGATGACTCCTGCAGGCAGAATGAGTGGAATGTGATATGGATGGAAAATACTCTTATCTGCAGGAAGCAACTATTACCCCATGGATAAAGTCAGTAACGCTGATTATCGTGTTGTTTCAGGAGGACAAAAAGTGTTTCATATGTGACTCTGAGGATCCCTTCCACGATACTCTCAATCCTGACAGTCATCGCATCGAAAACGTCGTCACTACGTTCGCTCCAAACCGTCTGAAGCTCTGGTGGCAGTCAGAAAATGGTATGGGGTTTGTCCAGGGCTGGGACCTGTCTTCCCTGCTTTTGTTTAAGGGTACCAGTGGGTCTGCTGTTACCTCTAGCCTGGTGATTACTGCTCTGGGAAGGTTCATGCTGTGTGAGGAGGGCTGAGTAAAACTGATTTGCTTTTGTGTGCCCTGAAACAGTCCTCAATCCATAGCGAATCCCCCTCAGCCCTCCAGGGGTGTTGGAAGGAGGTGTCTCAGCACTTTGCAAGAATCCTTTCCTAAAGGGAAGAGTTTCCCACGTTGGCCTCTGCTCTCCCTCAAGTCTGGGCAGGAGGAGCAGAACAGCCTTCCAGGAGTAAATATCCCGGGGAGGTGCTGCCAAGGAAGCGCCGCAGGGTTTCCCCACACTGCTGGGCTGAGGGAAGCTGTGGAGCTTTGGGTGCAGAGCTGGGAGCTGTCTCCCTGCCTGCAGCCCTCCTGTTTCCCTTTCCTACCCCAGGAGAATAAATCTGGGGTTATCTCTTACCCTGCAAGTCGCCTTCTCCCTCCTGAATTCCTGTGTCCCTGTGCCAGACAATAAAATGAACTCCATTAAATAAGCCAACATGTTAAAAGAAATATTGCGTGTTAGTTTGGCAGGGGTTTTTGGGGGGCTTGTTCACATCTTTCCTCTGCCTGTTTTACTTCTCTGGTTCTGCTTCTGGCATGCCTTCCTACACAAAACAAGGCATCAAAGCTTTTCAAACAGCACTCCTACCCTCAAGCCCTAAAGCCAGCAAGACAGGGTGGGATGTCTGCAAATTCGTTGGCAGTAGCTGTCTTGCTGTATAGAAAAAAAAGGTCATATTTGTAACAGTTTTGCTGCCTGGTAAAGAAAGGTTTTCACTAAATTCTCTTTAACCATTTAGATCAGCCTGGCAAGCCACTTGCCTCCAGCAGTTCTCTTCTAGTGTTCCAAATAATTCATGTTTTTTGCAACAGGCTTGGCAGCATTCACACAGAAAAGTTCTTAGCGCATAAGGTCATGAAAATGTCCTTCAACAATAAAAAACAAATGATTCTTTCTGTCCAATTCATGTTTTCTTCTATTCAGACATACAGCAGAAGGGACCATTCCTTCATGCTCCACATAATGTTGCAGCTGGTTGAAAATTTAAGTGCTTTATTGTTTTATTATTTTCATTTCTTACCCTTTCTCCCCTCTGTAAATCTTGATTTTATTTTTTAGTTCTAACTACAGTACAATTAGTATCCAGCTGTTTTGAGAGGTCTTTTCTCAAGGCAAAATATTATTTGTAGCTGTTTTTCTTCCTTTCTGTGTAGAGCCCTTGCCTGGAGGTAGTCGTACTTGCTTTTCACCCGTTTCCTTGTGATTGCAAAGCAGGGCTGTGATAGTTGCTTGAGGAATATCTCAAAACCAGGTTGTAAAAGAACTTTTCCTGCGGACAGGGGAGGGAAAAATGGTGAGGAATGGCCCCCAGCAGCCATTGGTGAGATTTGGGATGTTAGGGCTGCAGAAAGAAGCTCACGTGTCTGTTGCTGCCAGATGGGCTGAGTGTGTGAAGAGTGGGGTCAGGGCACAGGTCTGGGGCTCAGCATCTCCAGCTGTGCCAGCCTCTGGGTGCTTTGGTGCTAGGCCCCAGCCCACAGCAGTCCCAGCCTTGCCCTGCAAGGTGATGCCAGCCATGCTGTGCAGGCTGAAATAGCAGCAGTGCACACTCATGCTTTGGGTGTAGCTTGTTTGGTGCCCATGGTGCACAGGAATCCCATCTGTGATTCACTCTTCAGCAGATTCTCCCTGTACCTCAGGAATGCTCTAACCCTTTTTTAACAACACAGCTAAATGGTAGAGTCTGTGCAAACAGACTGAAGAGCTTTGTAAGAACTTAGATACTGGCAGAGGTCCTTGTTTGCTGCATGTCTTCTTTTCTCTGCCCCTGCAGGTTTGGAAAACGTGACCATCCAGCTGAACCTGGAGGCTGAGTTTCATTTCACTCATCTCATTATGACCTTCAAGGTAAGGAAGTCACAGCCTTTGCCTGAGCCCTAAAACAAGGAAATGAGAAGTCTAAGACTACTCCACATCTATTTGATATTTGGGATTTGGGCTTTGCCTGAGCTGTTTTGCCTGATTTTTTTTTTTGGAGCTGCTAGCCATTAACCCCTGCTGAAGTCATGCAGAAAGGCTGAGTTGTGACTTGTGTTTGAACTCCAGTGAGGCTGCAGAAGGAGTGATACTGAAGCTGGGGTTGATGTCTGTGTCTTTCTCTGGCAGTTGTGTTCTAGGAGATCATTAGCTAAATCATATAGTAGCAAGGATATTTTTCCTAAAAAAAACTTGGCCATGGTATCAGTTTTCATTTGGCAAATGGGAAGGTCTTCAGGAAGAAGGAACATCTGTACACAAAGTGTCTTTGTTTCTTTAAAAACAGATGTCTTGGAATGGCACATTCTGTCCTGTACATCCTAAATCACAGGCAAGTGCTAGTGGCAGCCTTGGGCTGAAGTCTCAGGGGCTACAGTTCCTGAAGGGCCAATTCCCAGCTCTTCCCATGTGGCCAAATTGATCTCTTCATTTTCACTCATCAGCTTTCTAGGAGAGCTGTTTCCTCTTTCCTGTGACATGGACTAGGGCTTCTCCCCCCACCTCAGGGGGGTGGCTGAGGAGGAAGGCTATCCTTTCTGCTGGACCCAGGAGTGATGCACCCCCAAAGGCTCCTGACCCAATATGGGCACTACAACCACTGTACCCCAGTTCTGGGACTTGATCTGCTGTCAGGGGGAAGAGTGGAGGGGGAAAGATAGTTTTGATGATGATTTGTTGACTTTGTTTGTGTGGTGGACACTTCACCTGCCTTACCTCTGGGTTGTTACATTCTTTTGTTGAGTGAGATACCACTTTCTAAGTTGGATGATATTTTCTGCCAGGAAGCAGAGAGAAAATTTCTTTCCAGTTGCAACTGAAATATTTTTGTGTTTGGATCTGGGAGAGCCTCCTCTGAATGCATAAAACTAATGAAGAGACTGTTGGCATTTCTTGCTAGGTGCAGGCCCAGGTGTTAAATGATTATTTGCTTTTTGAAAGGCAGTGCATAAATTGAAAAATGATATTTTTTAGGTCAGAGGGATTAAAAATCTTTTCAAAATCTCATCAGCTGGTAGTTCTAGACTTAAATATGTGTAGGTGAGAAGGACAGTGGTTTGTGTGAAGTAAATACAGCCTGCCAGAGTCTGGGCAAGATCAGCTGGAGGAGGATCACTGGGAACTGGGGGAGTCAAATGCAGCAGGAGTGGATGAATCTGAACCTCTCAGTTTCCTTAAAGAAGAAGGTTTTCTTATTGCAGCACAGAGGATGACTGACACTGAATATCAGAGACTCTGCAAAAGGTCATGGGGTCAGACAAAGAGAGGTGGGCAATCCCAGGGCTTCTCTGAGCAGCAGAGCAAGACCTTCTAGGCATCAGAGCTGGATGGGAAGTACTTGACAGTGGCCTCCTGGTCCCTGGGGCAGGAGAGGAGGCCCATCAGGTCCTTTGTAAAGGATTAGGCAAGGGGATATAGCAAGGAAGAAGGCTGTGCTGGAAAAAATCTTTTTGTCTCCCCGAAGCCTTGCTTTAATTCTCATTTTTCAGAAAGAATTTGGAATCCAAAAACCTTCCAAGTTTGCTTATTTATTGTAAGCATGTTTAAGCACTTGGCCACTGAACTCTGTCTTTTGAAGATGGGTAGTCTGTAATTTGATGTGTGTTATTTCAAATATCTGCCTCGGAGCAGAAAGTGGGATATCATCAGAAAAATACTTCCAATATTTCCAAATATTGGAAATAGTGCAGGGAGAGATTAAAATCCAGCTATGTGAATTGCTCGTGTTAACAAACTCTCACTGTAAATGCAAGTAACAATTAACCAAATAAAATCTCTTTTGTTTTTCTTGCTATTAGACATTCCGTCCTGCTGCAATGTTGATTGAGAGATCATCTGACTTTGGAGAGACGTGGCAAGTTTATAGGTATTTTGCATATGACTGTGAGAGCTCATTTCCTGGGATTTCAACTGGACCCATGAAGAAAGTTGATGATATAATCTGTGATTCCCGATACTCTGACATTGAGCCTTCAACAGAGGGAGAGGTCAGAGGCAATTTTTTCCAATATGTTTACTGTGTAGGCTTCTTCCTTACCAATTCAGGTTCTCTTATTTCTAATGCTGAATCTTTCACTGTTTGGTCTTTCATCCAGGTAATATATCGTGTTTTAGATCCTGCGTTTCGAATTGAAGATCCATACAGTCCAAGGATTCAAAGTATGTATGCAGTTACCTTTCAGGCTCGTTTGAAAGCATTTCAGTACTTACTTTCTTCTCAAAAACTGTAAGCCACAAAAAAAAGTTATGCATTAGCCCCAAAAGCAGGTATGAAGTCATATGGCTCCTTTTCCTGACTCAGACAGTGATGTGCTGAGAAATAACGATCAGTGTTGTCAACTCTTACACACATCATTGTAGCAGTTGGTCCTTTTCTTAACTGAACAGGCATTTCTTTTCATTAAAGACCCTCTCTCCCCAAAATACATTCACTTGCCAAGGGAAACCTTGGAATGTGATCCTGTAATAGTTCAGTATTCAGCAAACAGAGAAACAGAACTACATGGGTCCTTATATCATTGTGGATTTTTAGCTAAAATCAATGGGATCGTGTTTTATTTTTCAGAACACAGAGTCAGCACTTTGGAACAGTTGGCCATGGTAACACTGCATGGCTGGACCATGCAGATCTGGTCATAAACCACAACTTAGTGTAGTGTTCATGTGTGGTCATGGCAATCCATGAGTGCAAAGGTGGAGAGAGCTGTTGCTCTGCAGGGCTCAAAGAGAAACCTTCTGAGACATTTGGCCTGAGGGAACTGCAGTACTTGGCCTTAAGCTTGACCTCCATTTTAATGTGCATTCTCAGTTTCAGTTTGTGTCCTTCAGTGTAAAGCTAACTGGAGCAAAAGGAAATATCTGAAGTAGAGGAGTGTCTGCTGGTTCCTCTACCAGTTTCATGGCTTTTTTAAACCAACGTTTTAAAGGAGAAACTGTGTTCATGGGTTTGAAGGACTTTTTCAAGCCTAGTTCAAGGCTCTAAGAAATTATCCAGGATTCACAATATCAAAGTGAGCATGTAGACTGAATTAATTACTGCAATATTGTCTTCCCATGGATTATCCCTCAAGAACTTCTTTGTATTTGGTCAGCAATGGGGTGTTGCTTCTTTCCATAAAATGTAACTAATTATATTTGCTAGGAAAGTTGGGTGTATGCAAAATAAGAATTATTTGTGTCTTTGTTTCCAACTAAGACTTTTTCCAAAAGGCTTGTAACCCTTAAAGGTCCTGCTCCACTTGTCAGCAGTTTCTTCATAGCAAGTCCTTGTCCATCTTACATTTTAAAGACCCAAAGAACCAAGGTTTTATCAGTGGTGCTGTTCTGTGTGCCTTTAATATTTGTGTTTGTGCCTGTACATGTCTACAATGAAATAGACTAGTACTTTAATTAAGCTTAAACCTGCCCATAGGAAATGTGCTTGGGAAGTCACTCCTGACTTCCTCCCATTCACTACAATATCTGGTAAATAATTCCAAAATGGGTTTTGTGGATCTTTTGGGTTGCTTTTTTTATTATTTTTTTTTTGTGTGTCCCCTGCAGACCTGTTAAAAATCACAAATCTGAGAGTCAAATTTGTCAAGCTGCACACACTGGGAGATAACCTCTTGGACTCCAGGATGGAGATCCGAGAGAAGTACTACTATGCCATCTACGACATGGTGGTTCGTGGGAACTGTTTCTGCTATGGACATGCCAGTGAGTGTGCACCAGTGGAGGGCTTAGATGAGGAAGTGGAAGGAATGGTAAATATTCACACTTTTTTTTGCATCAAGTTGTTCCTGTCTGTGCCTCTTTTAAGTCATTTGAACTGAAATTTAAAGGTGACACTCTTCATTTTCAAACAAGAAAGCAGTAGTAAGTATTCCTCCTCTGTAAACATATCTGTCATTATTGGTGTTAATCAAACACTGAGCTCTCAGATTAGGTGGAAATTGTTTCAACATTCCTTTTCTAATGATGTTAAAGAGCTGATGAAATGAAAAGACAGGAATGCAGAAAGGGAGTGTAACCTTATGGGGCAGAGACAGGTGTGGGGTTGACCTTGGGTGTGTGGGGTTGATCTGGTTACCCTAAAATTGAAGCAAATAGAGGCATCAAAAGATGAAACATCTTTGTGAATCAAAGGTGACCTATGTTTGTATCAGTCATTACCTGCTGAGAAGTGCAGGCTGTAGTCCTAATTAACACAGTCCCTGAAGGAAAATCCTGATTGCCTCCATGGTGTGCTGCTGCACGAGTGCCAGATCCCTTCTGGGGTTTGTTTTTCCCCATGATTTTTGCCTGACAAGCAGTAATAGCACCCCTGTTAATGAGTGAGTTATTAACTGGGTGGAAATGTGGAGACGTACGGAGAGGTCGTGTGGGTTGTCCAGGGACTGCAGGATGCCGTTGCACCAGGTATGCTCCATTGCCCTGAGCTTTTGGTCAGTGTCTCCACTCAAGATTTGCTTTTAACATCATGGTTTCAGTGCTGGTAGTCCCTGTTGTCTGTGGCAGCAGCTGTCACACGGTTACTGTTGGTCTACTTGGTGCTTGTTCTGTACACGTTGAAGGTGAAGTCTGTGGTTGGTGGATAAACCCCATCCAAACTGTCTCTTGTCTTTGCTTTGAGAACCAAGGCAGGACTGGAAAGGGCTACTGATCTGATATGACTAGATGCATGTAAATAGCTAATTAACAGCTAATAAACAGCTAACTTTTTGGTCCAAGAGGCTTTTGTGCTTGTTGAGGTGGAACTGTGTGATCCTTGTTTATGTCTGAAAACATTTATTCAGGCATTGGTTCCAGTAAGGAAAGAAGGACCAATTTATATTAGGACATCCATACCTTGGCAGGTAAAGGATGCTCCTATGGTCTTCCTACATGGATTAAAGTCTCCAAGAGTATATCCATTACGTACTAGCTATATTTTGCATTCATTGGAGAATGTTGGGTTTTTTCTCCTTTATAACCAACTCTTTCTTTTTTTCAATGACAGGTCCATGGGCACTGCATGTGCAGACACAATACCAAAGGACTGAACTGTGAACAGTGTTTGGATTTCTACCATGACTTACCCTGGCGCCCAGCCGAGGGTCGCAACAGCAACGCCTGCAAAAGTGAGTTGGAGTGAAATGCAGACCTGGATGTAGTGTGAGCATTCCATGCTGTCACTGGGGAACTCGTGACAGTATATAAAATCCTCCGTGTTCTTTGTTTGACACTAATGTGTCTTTTCTGCAGACTTGTATCTCCCCCAGGACCAGGCTCTTACTTTGCTTTCTGTCTTTGTCACAGAGTGCAACTGCAACGGCCACTCCAGCCAGTGCCACTTCGACATGGCTGTGTACATGACCACAGGGAACACCAGTGGGGGAGTGTGTGATGACTGCCAGCACAACACTGTGGGACACAACTGTGAGCAGTGCAAACCCTTCTACTTCCAGCACCCAGAGCGAGATCTGCGCGACCCCGACGTCTGCGAACGTGAGTGTGGCCCCACTCCTCAGGGTGGGGATGGCCTGGAGATCCTGGAGGGAAGGTGGTTGTCGTGGAGGTTTTGAGTTGGCCTGACTGGGTTTTGTTTTCTCTTTGAGAATCTGGAAATTTACCTCGTCGTTACGTGTCCAACTCACATCGTGTCTAATAACTTGCAGGAGGGATACCATCTTTCTACGCAGCAGCTGAGTTTAAATAATTTGGTGTGAGTCTTGGCCTTTCATTTTGTAGCAGCTAATAAAACATGTGCCATGCTTCTTCCTTAGCTTGCAACTGTGACCCAGCTGGCTCCCAGAATGGTGGCATCTGCGACCGCTACACCGATTTCTCCACTGGCCTCATTGCTGGACAGTGCCGTTGTAAATTGTTCGTCGAGGGGGAGCGTTGTGACCTCTGCAAAGAAGGTTTCTATGGCCTGAGTGCCGATGACCCAGCGGGTTGTCAGTGTGAGTAGAAACATATGTTCCTTTACATGAGATCAAAAGCTCTTTGAGGAGCCGCTAGAGCTGGGAGAAGTCGGTTTGTGGGGTGGGTTTTTTCCTTTGTTTCAAGTTTCTGCTAAAGAAAAAACATTCTTGTAGATTTGCTGTAGGTTGGAGTCCACCAGCCCTTAAAACTCAGTTTCCCAGCTGATCCTTGTAGTGTATTCAATGGAAATAGCAAAATCCTTCTTGTTTTCAATTATAAGTTTCTTAAGCCAGAGAAGTTTTACTGGGATGGGTGGTAGGCAAAGTGTGCAATTAATTTCTCTCCTGGAGAATTCAGGGAAAAGATTTAATGTGTATATTTAAGTTGAATACTGTCTGAAATATAACTCCAGTCCTGTCTTTTGATCTGCCTTTTTGCATTTCCCAATCTAGCTTGTGCATGCAATCCTCTGGGTACCCACCCCGGGGGGAATCCTTGTGATTCCGAGACAGGAAACTGCTATTGTAAGCGGCTGGTGACAGGAAAGCAGTGCAATCAATGCCTGGTAAGTACTTTACCATAAAATAGATTAGGGGACTGGTGTGAGGGAGGCTGGAGTGTGGAAAGTGTGGAGCAAAGTGTTGTCTCTGACTGTGAGCTGTGTGCTTGGGGTTCAGGCTGGAGTGTGCACCTCAGGATGGCAGGAGCTGTGAAGCGTGTCGTGTTACAGGGAGCTGGGATGTGTGTCAAGGCAGACAAGAGCAGTTGAATTCCTGACATCATAAGGAGTGAGACACTGGGATACCTCTAGTGGTTGCCCTGTGAAGATGAGGGATCTGGGGCAGTTCTGCTGAAGTCCTCACTGGGGTGAAATAAAAAAATGGTCAGAGAAGCAGTGTTACCCAAGAAATTGCTTCCTATACAGGTCATTATTTTAGGCAGGGATTATTTCATGCACATACATTTCCATGTAGTGTTTATGCATGCCGGAGTGTTATAGAAACACGCTGTCAGATAACTGGATGTGTTTGTACAAACACTGACAGACTCTTATCTAGCAGTGGACTACATGGAAAAGCTAAACAAATTTGTCTGTCTAATCAGCAAATTGCAGAGCAGCAGCCCTGCAAGGACAGTGCCCTGCACAAGCACCCACCACCCCACATGTGGCTCTCTAGCCCTTGAGATGGTCAGCAAGGTGGGAGGAGAGCAGGTGGGGAAGTGGTGTTGGTTGTGAGGAAAGACCCAGAACCAGGATTCATGGATCGAGGGAGCGGTTTGGTATAGCTTATGATGGGTATTTAAAAATGTGCCTTTGGGTTAGATGAGATTAAATCTGCACCAGGTTACAGCACTGGTGATGTTTTCTCCTGCAGCCTGAGCACTGGGGCCTGAGCAACGACATGGATGGATGTCGTCCGTGTGACTGTGACCAGGGAGGAGCACTGAATAACAAGTGAGTCTCAGCCCAGTTACCTTCCTGTAATCATTTACCCTAGGGAGTTTCATGTTGTTTACAGCCACAACATACAGGGCTCAGTGTGCTCTGGACCATCTTTCTGCTCCAGAAAGTGGCAGGTCTCGATTGCAGCAAGGGTTGACAGAGGCATCCATGTCTTTTCTGTGCTGAGCAACCTCTGTTTGTGCCACTGGTGAAAGTGAACTGTTTCTACTGCAGCTCTGTCTTTGGTCAGCCAGGGTGGGAGCCAGCCATGGGTTGAGCTCTGCCTTGGCCGTAACCCAGGGTATGGTCCATGTCAAAGCTTTGCTCTCACAGGATGAAAGCAGCAACTGGGCAGTGACATGGACAGGAAGGCTGGTTCTTGCTTTGCTCCCAAACTGGTACCTTGACCAGTCTGTCTACCCACCAGTGCTGGGGGAAGCACACTAGCTCCACGGTACTGCTCTGTTGCCCCAGTGATGCTGGGGCATGGGATGTGGACCTGGAAGGGCATGCTCACCAGGGAGGTGGAGATTTTCTAGAGAAAAGTGTAGGTTTTGAATACAGATCCATCAGTAGCAGCATGGAAAGACCTGGCTTAGATGCCTGGTCACAGGGGTGCTGGGTAGCCAGACTGCTCCTCTGACCAGAGCAGTTTTCTCTGTGTTAGGTGCACATCCAACCCTAGGCTTGTCAGCAGCAACATGTTCCTTCACACATTTCCCCTCCTCCTGCCTCCTTCCCTCCAGGAACCCTTTAAAGTATCTTGCTTTTGTCTAAGGCCACAGAATTTTCCCAGGGAGGTCAACAAACTGTTTCCCACTGGAGTCCATGGGAACACAAGGGGAGTTTGGGACTGGTTTTGGTGTGACTCCTGTAGGTTGTCACAGCCTACAGACAGCCCATCTACATCAGGGATTGCTGTGGGAATGTCCCTTGGGCCATATCTCCTCTCTGCTCCCGAGTGAATTATTAGCCCTTGGCAGACAGCAGTGTGGATGTTAGGGATTATTGCCTCCCCCGTGCTTGCTCTCTGCACACAGATGGGTTACACTGCACAGCTCAGAACTGCTGCCCCAGCACAGCTGCTTCCAGGGGTTTGGGGTAATGGCCCAGCCTGTTTCCCATGCTCTGAGCCCAGCGATTGCAAAACCATGTGGGGACGTAAGGGAATGGGATGTGCAGCATCCTGCACAGGCAGGAGCAGCTGTGCTTTCCTCGACCACAGGAGAGCTGCAAAGCCCAGCTCTGGCTTCTGACTCTGCTCTTTAACGTCATCAGGGAGGGGGAGCTTTGCCCTCCTCAAGGCTCCTCTCCTCAGCTGCTGAACTGATGCCTCCTGGCTCCTGCTCAGGGTGTGGGATGCAGCTCAGGGTGTGTGGGATGCAGCGTCTGGGGCAGCTGCACCTCGCCCAAAATTCATCCCTGTGATGTGACCCAGGTGGTGGAGTCGTTGCCATCCCTAGAGGGGAAACTTCCCAGCTGCTCTCCTAGGACAGCTAAGGCACTTCTGGCTTCTCAAAGTGAACATTTAAGTAAATCTCTGCAGTTTCAAAAACAGTTTAAGTTGAAAGTTTCTCTTTGAATGGGAGCTTGAGAAACCTGGAGGTTTTCCATGGAAACCTGAGGCATTTTAATTTAGAAAATGTTTCTAAATCTCATTCAGCTTTAAAGAAAGAGATGTATTTGGTGGACCAAAAAGACTTCTATGAAAAGGTGTGACTGGGCACATGCCAAAATACAATGTGCTCAAGGCCAAAAAGACTTCTATGAAAAGGTGTGATGGGCACGTGCCAAAATACAATGTGCTCAAGGGTTCTTCAGAATGCAAGGCAGACACTCTGGGGACAATAAAAGGCAATTTGGGGATAGAGCTGTATTGAGGAAAGAAAATGGCTCATTATGAAGGAAGGGGAGCTCTGTATGTCACCCTGGACAGACCTTCTGCATTACCAGGTGATGGCCCTGTCTGTCCCACATCACTGGCTGTGTCCATCCTACTCTGAAGCAGCCAGGTATGGTTTTCCCCCATGCGTAGGTGCTGGTGAGTGATCTCTTGGGATGTGCTTTGCTGCATGTGAGAGCAGCTCGACATCCCAGGGCATGCAGGGTCATGCTGTTCTTGCTCTGCCTGAGTCCACGCAAACAGACATGCTGCTTGTGTGGCTTGGAAGCCCTGAGCCAGAGGCTGCCCTTGGCTTGCAGGACAGACATGCCTCTTGGCTGTGTCAGTGGTAGCAATTCCCAGAACTGCTGCCTGGCCCCAGGGAGCCACCTGCATCCATAGCATGAAAATCTCTTGCCATCCAAACAGAGGAAACCGTGTGCAAACTGCTCACTGGAGGTGGTCCATGGCCCATGCTCACTTCCAGCCTGAGCCTAGGTGTTGTTCAGGAGAGTGATAGTTGTGTTGAACCAAGGCTGCACCAGCGACGGTGCTGCCGTTTCAGGAGTGCAGATGGCCCAGCTCAGAGCCCAAGGACATCTCCAGTCTAGACACAGCCATGTTCAGAACCACTTCTCCTCTGTCAGTTAAAATGCCAAAGGAAAAGATAGCTCTAGTCCTGCCTTGGATTAGCCAAGATGTGTTATAAATTCACTGCTCTTCCCTTTTAGCTGCTCAAGTGAATCTGGCCAATGCGAGTGTCGGCCCCACATGTTTGGACGTCAGTGCAACCAGGTGGAGCCTGGTTATTACTTCATCTCACTTGATCATTACCTCTACGAGGCAGAGGAAGCCAACTTGGGTCCCGTGAGTAGCAGTTTTAGTGGGCTGGTGTGTCTGCAGAGGTGTGGGAAATTTGCTTCACCAGTTGGATGTTGGAAGCGTCTGTTTCATACCCTGAGTGTTTTGCAATTAAAATGTGGAAAACACAAAACTGAATTGTATCAGGAAACCATTAACCTGTAGCTCTTCAGTCTTAGAATCAATAAATAATGTAACTGGGGGGGAGGAACTACCATTTTTCTTTTTAAACCTGTTTCTTTGATCATGGCTGTACAGTTAGTTTCCTGTCAGCATCCCCCTCCATACCCCACTGCATCCACACCCACCACACACACTTCTACTCCTCTTATCTCAAGAGTGGTAGGACACAGACAGGGCTCTTCTCTTTGGGGCCACTGGAACTGGGAGGGAACAAAGCATGCATTTAGGCACATTTCCACAGCTTTTATGGTTTATGTACATCAGTGACATTTCTTTTATTAATGACTAAAACCACAGTTGATTGTGCAAACAACTGATTTTCTAAGTTAGGTTGCCTCTAGCTTGTTTTGCCTGCTGGCATGGTACAGCAAGGTCTCTGGCTCTTTCTGTTCTCCACCACACAGCTTTGCTTTCTATTCATTAACAGCAGTGAGGTGATTACATCAATTACTTTTGCCTCCAGCAAGGAGTCAGGGAGATGGAGATAATGGTTTCTCTAAAGCAGCAGATCCTTGTCTGCCTGCAACTGGGTCCTAATTTATTTATTTTAGGCAAAATGCAGCCACTTTGCAGGGTTTTTTCAGTTTTTCAGTTTTGAAAACTTCAGAACAAACAATTAAAAAACCCAGCAATATTGAAAAGCTTTCTCACAAATCCAATGGTAGAATAAAACTCTGAATTCCCAGGTAAGGGCCCAGCAAAAGACAAAAGGAGGTGGCACAGAGTCGCAGGGATTTGCAGGTGGTGCCAACCATGCTCCTCACAGCTGTGTGCCCTTGCTCACGTCCCTCCTGCCATCCTTGCTGGGGAGCTCTGGCCTTTGTGACTTGCAGCCAGGGTCTCTTCAAAGAGTGTGAGAACACATAAGGGGACATCCTGAAGTGATATGTATAGGGAGAGACATTTCCTTACATTTTTATCCCTTTCTACTGAAGCAGCTTCCTTAGGAATGCACAGGATGTTGTTCTATGGAGAGAACTATTTGTGGATACAGATATATTTGAAACAGGAAATTTGAGCACCACACATTTCCATTTTCTGTTACCCTTTTCCTCTTCTTTGCTTTATATAAAGAGTACCAGATAAAAACCTGTCACCTCAGACCCAAGGGAGTGACCATGTATTGATTTGGCTATTAAATACCTATCGATGATTAGGACCTCTGTTATTCAGTGACACTCAACTCATGACAGCTTTGATCTGCTTTTCAAATGTTATTCTGAGCAGTGGTTTGGTTTGGGGCAGCCCATGGTAGTCGGGAAGCAATTAGCACTCACCTTGGGCAGTTAATGATGTGCCACTGCAGTTAATCCTACTGCTACAAGTATAGTGTGGAAGTCCTGACAGTGAACAAGATGTCATAGCTCAGGGATTTGTTACTCACAGCAAGTTTTTACATTTAATTCTGCACCATAACAGAGAAATGGGCGAAGAGTTGTGCAGTCTTGTTTTATTTTATGTCTCTTGCTTTTTATATCTTGTTAAGTGGAAGGGCAATGGCATGAGTGTGCATGGGTTTAAAAAAGACTCTGTTGTCTGGGATGCAAACAGTGGATGCTGCAATCCACAAGTCATCCATCAGCAGAACTCATCCCTTCACACACGCCCGTGGGGCTTGCACATTGAATGTATCAGTACAGAAATATCTGTTCCCTGTTTTGTAGGGAGTGAATATAATCGAGCGCCAGTACACACCAGACCGCACACCATCATGGACAGGCATTGGATTTGTGAGGGTCCCTGAGGGGGCATACCTGGAATTCTACATCGACAACATTCCTTACTCCATGGAGTATGATATCCTGATCCGCTACGAGCCACAGGTAGGTGTGTGAGTATGGAAATTGGTGTCTGTCGTGGTGCACAAACTGACAGGAGCCTGGCACTTCAGGGAGTCATCAGGGCTCAAAGACAAGGATGGGGATCCTCAGTTAAATGTCTGAGATGTGCAAATATCCATTATGTTAACTATTTCTAGTAGTATTTCCTTTGTGGTTTCTTTCAATATTGTGTTGTTTCAGTACCTGTTTAATGATCAAATTGAAAAGTGACATCTTTTGGAATTGTATTGGAATTGTATTGCTTTGTATTGGAAATTAATTGGAATTGTACTGGAAAAGTGACATCTCCTGTCAGGACAGATTTGAGTATAAATTTGGCATTGGCCAGATGGCCTTCTAATGGGTGGAAATGCTGTTATCATAGGATCATAGAATCTTAGGGGTTGGAATGAACCTTACAGATCATCTAGTCCCAACCCCCTGCCCTGGGCAGGGACACCTCCCACTAGATCAGGTTGTTCAAGGCTCATCCAACCTGGCTGTGAACACTGCCAGGGTTGGGGCATCTACTACTTCCCTGGGCAACATGTTCCAATGTCTAACCACCCTTACAGTAGAAAACCTCTTCCTATTATCTGACCTAAACTAACCCTCCTTCATTGCCCCATAGTCCCAACCCCCTGCCCTGGGCAGGGACACCTCCCACTAGATCAGGTTGTTCAAGGCTCATCCAACCTGGCTGTGAACACTGCCAGGGTTGGGGCATCTACTACTTCCCTGGGCAACATGTTCCAATGTCTAACCACCCTTACAGTAGAAAACCTCTTCCTATTATCTGACCTAAACTAACCCTCCTTCATTGCCCCATGTCCTGTCACTGCAGTTTGTAACATCCCTCTCCACTCCAGCTCCTTTGTAGCCCCTTCAGATACTGGAAGGTTGCTCTGAGGTCTCCACACAACCTTTTCTTCTCCAGGCTGAACAGCCCCAACTCCCTCAGCTTGTCTCCACAGGGGAGATGCTCCAGTCCTCTTAGCAACTCTGTGGCCTCATCTGAACCTGCTCCAACAGTTCCATGTCCTTATGCAGTCCCCACCCACCCTTCTCTCCTCCAGGCTGAACAGCCCCAACTCCCTCAGCCTGTCCTCACAGGGAGATGCTCCAGTCCTCTTAGCAACTCTGTGGCTTCATCTGAACCTGCTCCAACAGTTCCATGTCCTTATGCACCTAGGAGACAAATTGTAGATGCTGAATGCCTGCAGCCAAGAGTTTGCAAGCAGTTGGCTTTGACTG